TTGTATATTAATTTTCATTAACCTCTAAACATTTTCTATAGGGTTTTAGTTTGGAGACATTGATGGTTAAGAAAGTATCTCAATGCCATTTTCTTTCTTCCATTTTTTCACAATTTTCAATTGATGCTTTGGATCATTATCTTCTTGCAAGATCTAATCTATGTTACCTTTACCAAAAAGTTTAGAGGTGGAAGCCAGAAGACCCTGCTCATAAATAGTACACATAAATTCAGCATTAAGGTTTCTCTGAAAACAAAATAGTTTACCAAATCCAGAAGCAGAAAAACATCTCTAAACATAAACTTTTGGTGGATGCTTAACAGAACAAAACACTTTTTTTTTACCAGGAAACTGCCAAACCTTTTTTTTTTATGTATATAATTGAAATGTACTCTCATCTATAAAAACAATTCGATTTTAATCAAAATTCTTATGTTTTTTTGCCTATTACAACCTTTTCTTTCAATGGTCTTCTTTAAGTAAAGGTTTAGAAATTTTATTACTAAACTTTTCTTCAGACTTACAAAGACGTCACCTTACTGTTTCTACACTAAGCCCAACACCTCTTTCTTTCATTTTTTCTTGTATTTGAATGGTTGTTATATTATGTTATTTCTCTATCATCTTTACAATCTTGTCATTTTATTTTGTAAATATTACACAAAGGCTGCCTCGGTCTTTCTGAAGTATTTAGATCCTGATTTTCATGATATCTTTTAACCTAATAAATAGCTATAGACTTACTACAACGTACCTATTTAGCAATAAATTCAAAACTAAACTTTAGACTAGCTGGGTGCTCACGTAAAAAGATAATTTCATATCGTTTCTCTAAAGAAAGTTCCATTTTTCAAGCAAAAGTTTGATGATCATCTAAATTATTTTTTTGTATCATTGATACTTATAAATTTATAGGTGATCATGTATTGTGTTACATTATATTTCTGGAAAATTTAAGGGGTAGTTATATAATAATTTTGGATGATCTCAGGCGGTCGGATACTTATGACCGCTTCTGTAATTCAAAAATTTATGTGATTATTTAAAGATTTCAAACTGAATTTAATTTTAGTTCTTTATTTGAAATTTAATTAATCATCTGATTTATTTATTATAAAAATAGAAATTGATTTAGATGAGTATTTAATTTGAGTAAAGTAAAAAAGAATATTATTTAGTTTAAATTGTATAAAATTAATTTAAAATTTTTATTTTAACTTCTAATATAAACTAAAAAAATTTAAATTAAACTGAAAATTTTTTAAAAAAATCAATATTATTATTTTATTAAATAATAAAGGATTATTTAATGAGAATGATTAAGATATTTATAAATATAAAATAAATTAAAATATTTTTATATAAAAATACTGCCAAATATAATTAAATTATATAAATACTTATAATTATTATTCTACAAAATCAGATTGAATTAAATTTAACAGATTAAATCTGATCTGAATTTGAATCTAGATCTGTACAAAAAATTACTTTATACGGTTAACTCTTATTATAACAAATTCTATGTCCTAAACTTCAACTTCATTATAAGGCTATAATAAAGATTTTAAGAGATTTGATTGGCCAATTCAATATTACAAGAGTATATTTGTTCAAAAAATTTGTTATATCAAAAATTCGCTATATTAAGAGTTAACTATTGTTAACATATAATCTTTTCAGGTTGTAACTGTTAGATGCGGTATCAGAGAGTTTACTTTTTTATAATTTAAGTACAAATAGAAATATTCATTCAGCAGAAGATTCAAAAGCAAAATGGATTTTATTTGGTCTTGAAGTTTTATTATTTGTTATTGATCTTGAATCAATTGAAATTTAATATATAATAATAAATTCTGTTGTTTATTTATTTTAAAATTTTAAATTAATTTTAATTCGAAATTAAAATTTATTATTAAAAAATTATTTTATTTTATATCTAAAATAAGATTAAATTAATTAAATATTATAAATAATATAATTCTTAAGTTAATGCCAAAAAGAATTCGTTTCCGATGGATTACATACCTATGTATATTAAGTATCTAATTTATTTTCTTATTTTTTCATAATCTTTATTTTAACTATAGAGGATCGTATCGAATAAATTCTTAAATTTGAAAAGTTTCAAGAGAACAATCTGAAACTACTTGTCTATTAAGAATCGCAATAGTGAGAAATTTTTGAAAAGAGTGAAATATATGAAATTTATTCACCCGAATTAAAAAAAGAAGCTCGCAGTTTAATGCTAAATGGTGATGTGAAAGATGGAGGACTTGTCAAGTTGGCACAGATATGGGAGGTGAAAAATGGTATCAATATGAAAAGGAGATGGTAAAAAGCCTGATAAGTTTGAAATAAAGGATATTAAACCCGAAGAACTAGAAAAACAAATGCGACTGCTAACAGATAAAAAGACCGCCAATCAACTGAGAGAGATAGGAAAGAGGAAGAAAAGATCTCCTGAAAATCTAGCGATTAAAAGAATGTGATAAAGAAATCGACCAAAGTGAAGGAAATACTAGTCTAGGTCAGCCGGGTAGTGAAAAAGGACGCTTATATTTTTGTGCTGGTAATAATGGTTGTTAATAACCTTTGTGTTTCTATAAATCTATTCCAAATTTTCATTTTTAATTTCTCTTTATCATTCGCATCTGATATTTCGTCAAGTGTCTATAATGATACAAAGATGAATTATAGGATAATAATAATAATTATTTAGTAGGCATATATACCTCATCATTGAGCTGCTCCACCCAATGAGTATAGATATCTTTCTCGGAATCATTTACATTTTCATCACAAATGAATGGCATGAAGATGAAGATATGAAAATGATAAAATGTTTGTGAAGGCAATGATGATAATGCCACAGGTGACGTTGTGTATTGCTTTTACAGGATACATAAATGGTTTTGGATTCCTGGTACCTTCATGCTTATCAATATCAAAAAAATCCAACTCTGACAGATCATCTTTGAATTAACAACAATTACGCGATCGCTTTGTGATTGTTTGCCATTCTACAAAATTTTTGCACCTCTGATAGATTTATTAGTGTGAAATAAATGTTATCAATTTATCAAAAAAAAAAAAATATTTTGAAATGAAATACCTTTGTACCAAATTTCAAATTTCAAATGCATACGATTATTACGAAGATGAAGCATTAAACATGTACTATCCTTAAAATTAAGGTTAATACACCATGGAAAACGAAACCCTCTTACTAATTCACATTCAGCAACATTTTATATAAAAGTCACGGGTGGATCATCATTATGAGTAATAATAGGCACGCGCTTTGACATAATAGATTTTAAAGGAAGGTGTACTCAATTAACTGAAACCTCAATTTCCAATTTGACTCTATTATTAAACCTTTTTCACATGCAAAATTAAAACCAAGTTCGTATTGATCATCATTACAAAACTTCCCATCATCTATAGCACACATTTGAGTACACAGAGTTCAACGACCATCGGAACAATCAACAAGAGTTGGTATTAAGGAATATTTTTTTCTTTTCGCCATTAATTGGTTTCTTTAAAGGTTCCGAACTAACAGTGGCCATGATTGACTACAAACGGAAACCTATAACTATGTCCTGAGAATTGTCACCACCAAATTAGTTGTGTAAGGTTCCATATCCACAGTTTCTTTCGCAGAAAAATCCATCAATAAGGGGATAGTTGATCGATGAAGTATTTTGAAAATCATTGTTCAATTTACGTTTTTTCTAACATTACTAAAAAAAAAAAAAAAAAAAAAATTTTAAAAATGCCTTCTAAGTTTGAACCCAAGGTTTACCAAAAATAAAACTAATACTCAACCCGAGACAAAAAAAAAAGCTGAAATAAGAAAAAGGAAACGTTAGTAACGTTTCTAGAATTATTATTTTTTTTAAAAAAAAAGCAACTTATCTAAGATTTCCGAGATTGATTCCCGATCATTTTAATTTAACGAGCTTTGTGCAACCATAACGTGATGAAATTCATTTATTTCCATAAATTTCCGAAGATCGTGCGAAATCTCCACCACATGTTTAAGTAATATCATTCACAAATAAGCTATTAATCACGTGATTTTTCAATAGACCTGAGTCATTCAATGGTCTGTTAACAAATTATGAATAGACCAAATGGTAATTTGGTCTTTACTGCTTTAACGGTCCGTACCCTAGTTTTTAATACTATCGCGTGAAATTTTGACTAATTTTGGTTTCTAAAATATTTTGACCAAAATTTACCCTTTTCTAATTGACATGCGATCATATATAATCTGAAGACAGACATTTGTTCTCGTTAAATGAAAAAAAAGACTCGTCATTAAAATTTCTTTTTGGCTTTAATTAAATACGTACTTAATGATCGACAAAATAAATAGATCACGTGCCTGTGGGCATTTTTCGATAAAGCGAACATTTGATCGCGTATATTAATTTGAATCTTTTTAACTTTCAAACTCAAGATAAAGCTTTTCAAAGTCGATTTTTTCATTATCTTAAATTTATAGTGGTAAGGCCATATGTTTTATTACACTGAATTTAGTAATAATATCCTCTTTGGATAAAGGTTTTCCTGACATTAAAAACTTATTTAATGATATGCAGAAAATCAAAATGCATTTACAAGATTTTTGTCTTGAGGTTTTAGTAAATGGGCAACCCTTACCAGAATACAATCTTTCGACTGTTAAATCTAAGGTAAGATTACAATCAAGTGTTTAAATATTTCTTTTAAACAAGAAAATTTATTAATTTATTCACAAACAAATGCATTAATTCACCTTAATTGCATTATAAATAGTTTAATAGCACATGCGTTTCTTATGTTACGGATCCATCAACACAAACAGAAAGACACAAGTATAGATAATTTTTTTTTAAATAAATAATATATATATATATATAGTAACTTTTTTTTTTTAAAAAAAAAAAAATTGATATTTATCATCTTTCATTTCATCTTGAAGCAATTTTATAACATACGTGCCAGTTATGACTCCGGGAGAACGCTATACTATTAGAACTGAAGCCAAACAAGCTAACCCGTCCAACATTATCATTTCACGTTTATATATAGATGGGAAATACAATGGAATTCATTATCTTCACCAACAAAAGAGCCCAAGATCAATATCGTACTTCGTTAATTATGAAAGAAATAAAGCTTATTACTTAAAATTCGCCAGCACATCTCAATTTGATAAAAAAGATGATGGTGTATTCAAAGTCCCTTTTCCTGTTAATAAACATCCAAATAAGCAAAACCAATTTTTATATGGGAAACCCGGAACTATTACTGCTGGTTTTTTCAAAGGGATTATTGTTGACGAAAGTGCTTTACTGAATAAACCAGATTTCGAAGTCAAACAAGTAAGGACGCCTGATAATAGGGAGATTGGTTACACCACCGGGTATGATGTCATGGATGCAACAATTCAACCTTCCACCGTGACAAAAATTGTTGATTGGAAACCCATGGCTGTGTTACATCTTAATTATCGTTCTGCAGATTGGCTGGCAAAAATATTTCCTTTATCATCTAGTACTCAAAAAGAAATGGAATTCAGTAATAACAATGTCGATATGGAACAACCAACAAAGATCATGAAAATTGATAAAACCTATGTTGAAAAAAAAAAGAAATATAATATAGTTTACGGAATTCCAACATCATGTCAAAAAATCATAACCGAAAAGTTTGAAAAAATCAAAAAAATTGTAGAAGAAAATGCGGAGAAATCGATAGCTAATAAAGACAACGTTTCGCAACAAAAAAATAATTTGAAAAGAAATCATAATAAAATGAACAATCATGAGAAGGAATCTATGTAATTATAATGACTTGATAAAGGCACTTTATTGCAAAAGTAAGATTTTTTAACTTCAATTATTTTTTATATTTTGACAAATTTTTTAGTCTATTTTGTTTTAAATACCATTGTTACTAAGAGATTTTAATTGCTGAGTTTGTTGTAAACATTTTGATGATTAAAATTTATTACATTATAATAATAAAGTCATTAGCGATAATGTTCTTAAATGTAATGTTTTATTGTGATCTATTTTTTTTATTATAAGAATATTAAATAAATTAAATAAATGCTTTTAAAATATTAATATTTTGGTATATTTAACTTAAAATTATTGCTAAAGATTTTTGGTAATTATTTTACTAAATTGATACTATTAAAAATATAAAATTTATTTTAAATGTATTATTATTAAATAAAGAATTTTTTAATAATTAAATATAATTTATATGTAAATTTTTTATAGTTTACAATATTTTTAAATTATTAGCTAAAATTTATTATAAAATTTCTTAGTATATACAGGGTGTATGGAATACGAATCATATGATATATAAATTTATATGGAATTGCATTTAGTTTAAGATCAATTAGTGTTAATATACAGATTATATTTACTATTATTACGTTACATAACATCTTACTATATTTCATTTTTATTAATGAATCTAAAAACAGAAAAATTTTATACTAAAAATGTTATTTATCACCTTCTTAGGTTTCATATAATAGCAATTCTTTATTATTATTTTTAAATAATACTTTGTTATTAAAATATATATAATATTTTTTCAACTTTAAATAATATGATGTTTTTTAAATATAAATATTAAAAATTAGTAATATATGTAATTTAAATACTTTACAAAGTTTTTTAATATATAAAAAAGGAATTAAATTATTATGTTAATTTTATAAAAAAACATATTTTATTAAAAATTAAAAATAATATTTAATATAATTAAATTATTTTAATTAATAAATAAAATTGCAGATATTAGATTATAAAACTTTTAAAGAAAAGAATATGCTAAATAAAATTAAAAATTACTTAATAAAAAAAAAATTATAAATTAAGAAGAAAAATAAAAAAATAATAATAATAAAATAGATAGATAATTAAAGAATTAAATAAAAGTTTGTAATATGAAATATTTATAATATTAGATAAAGTATTTAATTATTTAAAAAGAATGTATATAATTAAGAATAATTTATATATAATAGTAATATTAGTAAAAATTAAATTATAATAATATAAATATATAAAATATTTAAATATAATATTATACTAGCTGTTGCCTATTACTTTACAATAGGATTAAATCACATGATATTATATAAATTTCTAAATGAAAATTTATGCAACTAATTTTAAACTTAAGCTTAAATTTTATTGAAAAAAAAATTTTCTTTTTAGAAATTTGTATAATATTATGCATTTAATGATTTCTTATACAGGTACTCTAAATATTAAAATTTTTTTAATTAGATAGATATAAATATTATATTATAAAAATATATTATATAATTTCAAGTTTAAAAAATAAAATTAAAATAAAAATATATTTTAAGATTAAAAATGAATTTTTATTTAGGTGATTAAACATAAAATTTCACCTATCTATAGAATTAGGATTAGTTAGAATTAGATTTAGACATAGAATTATTAAACATAAAATTAAAGTTAATTAAAATTAAATTTAAGATTAGAATTTATTTATCATAATGTATCATATTTCTCTATTTCTTATTTTTTTAAATAAATAAATTTAAATTATAAATTTTATCTTATTTTAAATAGAATATTATAAAATGATTAGATAATCAAGAAAATTATTTTTTTCAAGAGGATAATACTTCTATATATATTGCAAAGATTGTTAAAGTTGAAAAGTAAAAATATAAAATGAATAGTATTTTCTGACTTATACAAAATTCTTATCTTAATTCAATAGAAAATTTCTAAGATGAATTAGAAAGGCAGATATAAACACATATTATATTATTAAAAAACAGAAAAGATTTATGAAAAATATTTCTAGAGAAGTAATTAAATCTTAATAATAATAAATATCAAAATCCAAATAATTAAGGAAATATAAGTTTCTTTACTTATACTTTTTTGATATGCTAGAAAATTAATTTCCGAAACAAATTATTTTCTTTATTATCTCTTTGTCTGTAACGCAGGCAAATTTGCCTGCATAAGCATAGTAGCATGTGAAAGTCTACAAACACGTTACTTTCATGTGATAGACCTGCCAATTATATTTTGATGATCATCAAGATTATCAGCCAATGAAATAGAAATGCCCCTATGCTTCAAACTAGCCAATCAATTAACTAGTCTGTATTTATTTTTTGTAAAATATAAACGCGAAGAATGTATTTTCCGAAACTCAAACTCAGACCTTACCTATAACTATCACTTTTTCCACTTTTTCTATAATCCGTCTTGAACCTTATACCTAACAATATATATTTTTGATATCACTTTACTTTCATAGTAAAAATATTTTATATTTAAAACTTATTTCAACCATAAAATAAAATAACAAAATAAACAAAAAAGAAATCATACCTTTCAAGGCGAAATTTACAGTAAAGAAGATCAAGTTATTAATGAAATAAAGATAAAGAAAAAGAACAAGGTTGTAAAAAGTTGAAAAAGTTGAAAAAGTTGAAAAGTTTGAGGAGAAAAAAAGAAATTGAAAAAGATGAACCAGAAGATAATGGGTTTCTTGGAAAAAAAGTTGAAATAATGAAACTGTCGAAATGAATAAAGAACTTTTCGAAAGATAGAAGTTGAAGATCAAGGAGGAAAAAAGGTTGGGGAACTTTTTTAAAAATGAACCAGAAGACAATGGTTCTAGAAAAGAATTAGGCAATCGAAATGGACTTGAGAAAAAAGGTTGAGCGGATATTGCCAAACGAGGCTGTAGTAAATAGCTATTGCTATTAGTTATAGTTAGATACTAGTTATATTAGTTATATCAATTTATAATATTTGTTATGTTTATTATAGTGTTTATTATGGTGTTTTTTATAGTTTTATAGTGTATTTTATAGACCGTTTATAAACTCTTATTTTCTAATCCTATTCTTCTACCCTCTAAATTTTTATTTAATAATGGAATATATAATGTTTGAATTAACAAGTAAATTTCAAGACAAATGAAATTAATTATCGTGTCTTCATTTTCAGCCATCCAAGTAGCCAATCTCCGGAAATGCCAATATCTTCATGATCGGAACATGTAATTCAGCACCGAGAAATATGACAAGGTGAACTAAATACTGTACATTCGAAAATCAATTAAAAATCAATCAGCAAGAAAAGAACTTCAGAACTTGCTTCACGCTAATATATGATCCGTAACGTGATTTTAATAGCTATAATGAATAAGAGAAATATAATTCGGAGTTACTTGTAAATTTCTCAACTAATTTTTTTGATATACATTATGAACTATGTAGAAAAACAATAACTAATAACTAAATGATATCGAGATCTACATAAAAATGATTTGATCATAAGTGTTAAAAACCAACCAATTACAATAAATAGCAAAAACAAAATCTTTAATAACGACACCGCATTCACTGCAATTACGCAACAATCCATATCCGTGTTTTCATCCAAAATCTCCAACTTTTGTATCATAAATTGGAAAGCACATTCAAAAACTTTACCTTTTCTTTCGTCACGATCATCTAGTAAAGGTTTTAAATGAATACACTAGGGCAAGCTTTAGCACTTAGAAATCCCAAGCACATTTTGCTATTCTAGGATTTAGATAAAGACAAATATGATTGCACAACTTAAAAATTTAAATTCAACAAATGTATATAATGCAAATGCATATATACATTATGAAACACGACAGCAAGACATCACCACGTCCTGCAAAGACAATTCCTAGAGACAATTTGCTTAAAAATTAATCTTGTGCTGTCAATTGAATACGATTCTTCCTAGCCGTTGATAACAGATCCCTTATCGAAAGAGTAAGTTGATAGGGAGGAATTTGAATTAAAAAAATATTCTTCCTCTTTGAGACGTTGTACGAGCATTTCATCGATTTGAAAATACGGTGGTGGTGATTCGATAGATTGGATGATATCGACGGGTACCATGGGGGCAGGCTGAAGTGAGGGAGTATGAAAGGTGGCAGGTTCGAGGATTGAAGTCGTAGAATTGGTGACCGCAAAATGTCGGTGTTGATGCTTTGGCAATTTGTCAGATTTGGAAAAGGTTGAATCCAAATATCATGAATTAGCTCCTGTAATTCGGCAACATCAGGCAAAGGTATGCAGGCTACTCTAGTAAAGATCTTAAAGGATATGATGATGTTTAATAATCTTTCAGCATGCTGGAGAGCAAATGGGTCTAAAATCTATTGTGGTCGACGCAATGCACTGGTGGGTGTATATATATATATATATATATGTATGAGATAATTAAATTTTCTAAATTATGTCAAGTTGACGAATGGGATTTCTTATCTAGGAAAATGTATTGTTGGGGAGAAATGTCTCTGCAGCGCAAGCGGCGTAAAATGTGAGAGTATCTGTTCCTTTTTCAAATTCTGGCATTATTATTATCGTTATGTGCGATCATATTTTCCGAGGTGAGGTGTCATACACGTGTCAATTGCACTTTACTAAGGGGGGAAACGAATAATAAAACAAATTTATTAATTATCTATGTTATAAAGAAAGAAAAGCTAATAAATTATTTGCAACTTATTACCATTTGATAACTCTATAACTTGGAATTTCATTTTCTTATTTGTTTAATAAATCTATGCTTTTGATGCTTGCCAACTGTAGTTCCCGATTCTTTAATAGAACTCACAAAATATGACAGTTCATTTCCTTCTAAAGGAACAAAATAACTGGCAGGAGTTTGTTCCTCATATTTATCTCTACAAACTACCTATCTCAACGAGTTAAGAATTCTAAATCATCGATCTTTTTTTTTTTTTTTTGATCATCGGCTAAGATTTTTTTTTATTAAAAAAAAAAAAAAATGAAATTTGAAGACCGCGAATCTTATGTATAATTAATTTTTATTATGTCATTTCCTTCTTGTCTATGTCTTCCTAATCAATATTGTATTACCTTTGCCATCTATGTCATGGATTTTATTGCTAAACCAATCCTTCTTTATAACATTTACCCAAAAGCGCTAGTTTTTCTAAACTCGATGTATCTCCTATATGGATCTATATCTATCTATATTTGTTCCGCATCCTTCCAATGAAATTTACCTCTCTAATATAAACTCAGCAATCCACCTGCTATAACTAAAATTACAAATACCACATAAAAAATTCTCTCTCTTATCTGTTGACAACGAGCAACTAAACATTTTTTTAAGTAACTATACATGGTAAGAATGGAAGTGAAGAAGAAATAAAATAAGAAACAATATCTGTAACTGGTTTCATACACAATTATGGTGTGCAAGATGTTGAAAACGGTTACGGTCACGCTTTGTTTAAATATCAGAAAGCATTTCGAAGTGAAGGTATCGGATTGCTAGATAGCAATTGACGTAATCATTATTAATTAGAATTAAAACAATAAATTTCAAGACAAGTGAAAAAAAAAAAGCTCCTACAAGGTGATGGATGGATTATTGTGTCTTCATTTTCAGCACAGAAATGCCAATATCTTCACTGACTGGAACATGTAATTTGAATTACGTGGAGTAACCAGAAATTTTCGGGGCTTCAGATACCAATGAAGCTACCCAAGCGGCTGATGACATTAAAATTGCAGAGATCGATGACAAGAAATCAGATCCAGGACAATATGATATGGTAATGCTGACTCCTACCATAATACAATTTTTTCTTGAAGGCCAGCTGCGATGGTCCTAGTTTTTATAATTCTTTGAGTACTAGTGTTATCAGCTCTTTCATAAGGTATGCTATAAACATTATTCTCAATACGTTTTAACCTTTCTCCACCTATAAATAAGCAAGATAGAACCGCGACAATTATCATAACACGCAAATAATAATTCACGGTAAAATCTTTACACACCTTGAGATTATTGATGGTCGAGGTTGTTCAATTTCAGAGAAAAAAGATGTGTCTACAATACATGTTGCTCTATTAATCTTTTTGATTCAAGATAAAATTCCGAAGCAATTTGTGTTCATAATGCTAATAAGAAATTGATGGCACCTAGCCAATTGATGTTAGCTGCATGATAGGATCACCTGCGAGTCCTGAATTATATAATATGTAGGATCAGTCTCCCCAAGAACCCAAAGGTGAATAATGACCAGATTGCCGTCCAAATGAGGAAATATCATTCTCAAATTCAGATTATGTGTGAAATCTTCAAACCTTCATTAATCTTTAACATGAATTTGGTAAAGATCATAGGAGCTAATGTTATGATTGAAATCGATGCGCCCATGATGCGCCCATTATTAATTGAAAAATCATCAAAAAACTCTCCATTGGAGAGGTTGATGGCTCATTGTGAACCAAAGCTGCTCCTAAAGTAAGCGCGGTCAATAAATGGATGTTTGTTAACGTTTGGACTTTTGTGCAAATTATTGGTAAATTTAATCAATTGAATATACTAACCAATCATAATAATTAGCACCAGCGTTAATAACGCAACTACGCTTGTCCAGTTGAGTAATTTCAACAATACATTTCAGTGATTTCATCCATGCTAAGCATTGATAAGTTCTCCAAAACCTCTAACTCGACCATAAATTGGAAAGCATTTTCCGAACCTTAGCTTTTCTTTCATTGATGAATTTTGTGAACTTGATTAATTTAATATCTCGTTCAGATGATGCATCTATTGAAGTATCTTCTAATCCTCTTGCAAATGATCCTCTTAATTCCATAGTTAACATATTCCAAAGTAATACATGATGAACATCAGGATTTCCAATATCATGAGCTTATGCATCTGAAAGAGTTCGACGAGGGAAAAATGTTTGGAGGTTCTGAAATAAAATTTTCTAACACTTCTTTAAAGGTCATCATCATAAGCCATAAATTCAGAAACCATGATAGAAATATCTTAAACGATACGCGACACTATTTACAATTGATCAAAATTATTAAAATACGCCTTGCAAAACAATAAAAATAAAAAAAAATATGCACACAAACCATACTGTTCCTCGACGCAACACGATCTGAGAATCAACCAATGACGTTAAACACACTATCCGAGCACTTTTATAAATATTGCAAATTTAACACCAAATCCAAATTCCGGTGCAAAATTTTAAGTCTCTAAATGTACAGTTTTATAGATTTTGATGTAGAATTAGCAATGTATAATCTCAGCAAAGATTTCATTAAGCATTTATATGACTATCTTTTCTGATTGTGACTTAAAGACACTTACCAAAGATGACGGCGAGGAACATTTGAATTGAATATAAAGAGCTAAACTTTCTGCATCAATTGAATTATTTCCATGCACCCTTATAAAGTAATTGACCAGACCAGTAATTCCGGTTCTGAAAAGCTTATTTATTTATTTTTAAATTTATATATTTCAGGATCGATTGGAAATTGTGGCATTAACGATTAGTGATTTGATTTCCTGTAATTTTGTTTCTCTAAGATTTCTGCTAGACGTAAGAAGAATCAGTTGATGAGGAGACTCCAATATAAGATCTATGAAGAGGAATATTACAATACTTTTTTTACCTTTTTAAATATCTAATTCTACGAGTTATTTTAACTATTAGTTTCAGTCTCTACAGAAATTCCAGCAATTGGGAATATCTAAAAATTCTTAAGGAGTATTATAATACAATAAAGCAAAACCAATTGCTTTAAAGCTATAATAATCGCCCAATTGAAATTTTAGCGTATAACATTTTCTTCCACTTTTTATTAAGAGCTAAATTATATAAAGTTTTAAAATTAAATATGTCAATAATAAAAAAAATTGAGCAATTATTCCATAAATCACCTTCGGGATGTCAAAATTATTGCCAGCACTTGCTTATCAGCACGATCAGCATAAACTTCGTAAGGGGCCTTGCTGAACATTAACTATAAAATTTACAAACAGGTATGTGAAGGTAAGATAATTTTTGAAAAGCTTGCAATTATTTCAGCACGATTTTTTTTTTTTTACAAATTGGCGCGTTTTACAAGGTTTGAATTTTGGCCAACAGACATCGGGCCAAAATTACTAATCACGTGGGCGAATTTGGTTTAGTGTTAAAAGAAGGTCACTATAGATTAAAACGGTGATTAAATGAATCAGAAAAACATGAATTTATTTATATGGCATTCTAGCCATTCAAATTATAATCGTAAATGCCATGTTTAAAAGGTATTTAAAACGAAAAGGAATACATAGAAAGCAAAAACTGCACATTTCATGATTAAATAACACGTCACGTCTGGAATAGAAATACGAAGCGTTTATTTTTTTTAGATATACAAAGTGATTCTGCGGCTGTTATGAAAAACAGGATAAGTTTTTTTTTCTGATGTATTTTACCAAAGTTCAGTAACAACACATCGTTAGCATTTTCTGTAGTTACTTTAGGAATGCGTTCTCCAATATTAGAAAAATTTTGTATTCTGTGCGCAGCACATAACTTTCAAACTCGAATTTTAGAAGAAGGTAAAAATGTTTGCTTTATTATTACATTCAAACTGCAGAAAATTTAAAAATGGTAAAAAGAAAGCGTAAAGTAAACAGAGGAAGGGGAGGTGAAAGGGGGAAGAAAAAATATAATATATATATATATGAATAATTTAATACAAATTTTTCAATAATAAAAAAAAGAATATAAATAAAAAAAAATTTTTTAAATATATTTTTGGTCGGCCCTATTAAATGAAATTTAATTCATCATGAATAAAGATAATTTCTTTCACGAACGGTAAAGAACTAGAAAAGATATATTTCTATACCTATTCATTATTAGAATCATTATTAGGTCTGGCCGGCGGATTGGATCTTGGAGTGCGTCGGTGAGTTACAAGACATCTTGATTTTTTGACTCGGCATGTTTGGCATGGCATTTTAATATAATCTTGTTTAACTTGTTGGATTGGCACCATTATTTTATAAATGATTTATGGTGTTAAACGTTTTGTAAATATAACGATGGAGACTTTTTAGAGTTGTTGCTTTCAGGGATAAGAAATATTTATATGAAAAACATCCGTTTTGTGTACTACCGAATTCATGATAAGTTTAACGCGTAAAGAATAATTGATTAAAAGATTGTGGATCGGAACCCAACGTTAAAGGGCTCATTTGAACTATTGATTTCTCTTTTTTTGAAAAAATTGTTTGGAAATTTCATATGTGCCAAAAGATGGTGACTCGGAGAAAGATTTTTCACAAAATATTTCATTGCGAACCTTCCATTTTTAAAAAGGAGGAGATGGTGCGCAACTTGTGATCCTTTTAATTACAAATATTAAGTTTAAATAAATATATACCAAACATATAAAGTATTTTTATAATTATAATAACGTTAATAAATTTATACAACAAAGTTAGACCAAAAAAAAAAAACAGAAATACATAAAATA